CTTGTCAGGTTTGTCCACTGAGAAGTTACTCTTTCTCACCCTCCCTGTCTGTAGTGTACTCTTTGGAAGAAAGTCACCTTGCACAGCCCACACCTAAGATGCACTAGCTACATAAGTTGTTTGGAATTCTGCCCAGGAGATTTGCCTGTTCTCCATTTATTCATTCAATTGCTTAGTAATGTCATTATGAACTCATGAGTATTTATTTGATACTTTGGGATATATATCATATTACTTGATTTTCTTGCTCAACCAGCTTTCGGGCGGTTCCTGTATCCTTTTAACATACTCCCATCCCCTTGTGTGGTGTTTGCTCTGTTTTTGTTGTTGTTGCTTTATTTTTTGAACATTGTCTTACATTCTGGTGCTATACGATGTTCCAGGGTAATTTTGTATGTTTCTCATCCCTGTAGAATTAGCCATTTCTGCAAAGATCCCTGGCTCTTTTACTGGAGAAGATCAAGGGCATTGGGTGTGCTCATTGCTCCTGAGGTGTCATGACTTTTAGGTTCTCTCAGCTGACGGAACAAGGAGACATATGGATGGACACTAACCTGTGCATGTATCTATAAATATTTCTATATGTAATCATCTGTATCTATGTTAAACTAAATATGAGTTCACAGGGATGTCTCTAATGCATTACCACATGGATACTTCTCGCGTCCTCTCCTTATTTATTTATAATCTCCCACTCCAACAATAAGAAACCAGATCCCACCATCCTCCATCCATCAACTTAATTGTCCAATTCTGGCATTCATGCATAATGGCTTCAGAGTTCTTTTTTTTCTTAATAAAGATTTTATTTATTTATTTATTTGAGAGAAAGAGCACACGAGCAGGGGAGAGGGGCAGAGGGAGAGGGAGAAGCAGACTCCCCTCTGAGCAGGGAGCACGATGCAGGACTCGATCCCAGGACCCTGGGATCATGACCTGAGCTGAAGGCAGATGCTTAATCAACTGAGCCACCCAGGCACCCAGCTTCAGAGTTCTTAACTCATCTGCCTGTAGTCTTACAAACTCCACTCATTTCCAAAGTTAATTAGGTCAGTACTTTGTTCCCCAACTTCATTCATTATTTGCTTACATTTGTAATATACTGAAGATTCTTTTGTTGCATTCTGCATTCCACCTCAGGATTCCCCCAAATGCTTAAGTGATTTTTAAAAATTTGTATAAAGTCTACTTTCTGCACTGTAAAGTTCTATGGGTTTTGATAAATGTTTAATGTCTTGTACTCATCATTACAGTATCATCCAGAACAATCTCTCTGCCCTAAAAAATTCCCTGTGTTCCACCTCTTCAACTATACATCCCCTCTGAACTGCTGGGAAGCACTCATCTGTTTACCATCTCTATAGTTTTGCCTTTCCCAAAAGTCATATAATTGTAATCTTACACTTTTTCAGACTTTTTTCACTTAACAGTATGCATTTGATCTATCCATGTCTTTTGATGGCTTGGTGATTCAATTCTTTTTATTGCTGAATAATATTCCATTGTATGAATAGGCCATGGTTTATTTATCCCTTTACCTATGAAGGACATCTTGGTTGTTTATAGTTTGGGACAATTATGAATAAAACTGCTATGCACAGGCCAATTTCTGTGTGGACATACGTTTTCAAACCAGTTGGGTAATACCTGGAGTGTGATAGCTGAATTGTAGGGTAAGACTGTGCTCAGTTTTATCAGAAACTGCCAAATTGTCCTCCAAAGAGGCTGTATCATTTTGCAATCCCACCAGGAACATATGAGAGTCCCTGCTGATCTGCATCCTTGCCAAAAGTTGGGATTGTCAGTTTTTGGATTTTAGTTATTTTAATAGATATGAAGAAAAAGGTTATTGTTTTAATTTTTAATTCTTTAATGACATACTGAGTACCTTTTCATGTGCTGAGTTGCCATCTATATGCCTTCTTTGGTGAAGTTCTGTTCATATTGTTTACTCATTAATTGGGTTGTTTTCTTATTGTTGAGGTTTTTTTTGTCTTGTTTTTTGTTTTTTGAAGATTTATTTATTTATTTTAGAGAGAGAGAGTGAGCAGGAGCAGGGGAGGGACAGAAGAAGAGGGAGAAGCAGACTCCCCGCTGAGCAGGGAGCCTGATGAGGGGCTCAATCCTGGGACTCCGGGATCATGACCTGAACCAAAGGCAGGTGCTATTAACCAACTGAGCCACCTAGGCTCCCCTGACTAGCCCTTTAGTAACCCTTGAAATCTGATCGTGTGAATCCTCCAACTATGCCCTTCTTCTTCAGTATATTGTTGCCTAACTGAGGTCCTTTGCCTTTTCATATAAACTCTAGAATCAGTTTATTAATATCTACAAAATAGCTTGCTGAGATTTTGATTGGAATAGTGGTGAATCTATAGATCGAGTTAGAAGAACTGACATTTAACAATATTGAGTCTTCTAATCCATGAACATGGTATAGCTCTCTATTTATTTAAATCTTTGATTTTTCCCCCCATTGGTGTTTTTTGTTTTCCTGCCTGTTTTTATAAATAACATTTCATTGGTCTGTAGCCATGTTTATTCATTTATGTGTTATCTGTGGTTGCTTTCATGCTATACTGTCAGACTTGAGTAACTGCAACAGAAACTACAACTCACAAAGCCTAAACTTACTACCTGGCCCATTACAGAAAAAGTTTTCTGATCCCTGATGCAGAGTTTAAATTGCTGAGCATCTTTCTTTCAACCCTGCTTTCAATGATCTCTTTCTCTTTGTTGGCTTTGGGAAAGAAGACATGATCTAAAAAGGAATAAGGGCATCCTGAACCTCAGCAATGAGTTAAAATTCTCCCTTTCAGGCAGTGAACAGAGGATCAATAGGAACCTTCCTTATTATCAAGGTTTTGTGGGTTGAGTTTAGAAGTAGATTATTTATAGGTTTGTTTATGTTCTGAACTCAGTGCTGTTGGCCTAGCAGTATCTTAATGCCCATCATAGCATGTGAAACACAGAAGGTTCTTAATAAATGTTTGATGGATGAATGAAATGAGGAATGAACAATGTATGACAAAAGAATCCTCTGGGGTCTGTTGAAGTGCAGAAGTAACATCCTCAGGAGCTATGAAATGGGATAAATGGAACAGATGCATGAGCCATGTAGCTAGCAGCGGATATATAAAAAGGATGGTCCTTTGTCTCTCAGGGAAGCAAACAGATAACCTAAACACTGGTTTCTACACTTAGCAAATGCAGTCTTGAATTGAGTCTGGATCAGTACCAAAGCAACAGGGAGAAGAATGTCTATTGAGCATTACCATGCTCCAGGCATCATGCTAGGATCTTTACACATACTATTTCCAAACCACGCAATAGTTGCAAAGTAGCTCTTAGTGATCCAATTTTAAAGATGAGCAAACTAAGAATCAGAGAGCAAAGTGACTCCTTCAAGATCTCTTCATTTTGAAGTAGCAGAGACAAAACTAACTGTGTGTGTGGGGGGGAGAGGTGTAAAGGAATCTTGATCCACATGTTACCTTTCAGCCATATTCAGTGCGAGTGCCAGCAAATAGCATAATATGCTGTAGCACTCCCTGCCATCCTCCAGTCAGTATCTATAGATGCCAACTCCAGGGATCTCACAGGCATGTCATAGACATTAAGAGACTAGAAGACATATTTCTATGTCCATGAAAGTCCATCCCTACTCCTAGTTTGTTAATCAATTGATTGGTCAGCCAAGGAAGTCACTTCCAGCTGAGAGCACAGCCCTCCATAGCAGGCACTGGAGGAACATCAGCAAAGGGAGAGACCTACTTCCTTCCCAAAGGAGCCTCATGTTCTCCTTGGGAGTCTAGCACGCATGTACATGTATGTCCACCAGGAGAGTCAATGAAGTCATTTAACAAGTGATCATAACCACATAGATTTATATATATATAAATAGGCATATATATATATATATAGGCATTGACTCAGTATGACTAAACTGTGGGGACCTCAAACTCTCCAATTGTTTGTGCATTCATTTATACAACAAATCCTCAACAGTATCTGATTGCCACTGTCCAAGTAGTCATCTAAACAACAACAACAACAAAAAAACTAACATTTTTATAGTACTTTATAGTTTACATAGACCTTACAAATACTTTTCCTGCCTTGCAAGGTACCTAGCGCAGGAATTATTAAAGTACCCATCTCAAATCTTTGTACACTGAGCTTCAGGTAAGTGAGATGATTTGTCCAAGGTCACAGTTGGTAAGCCAAGGCCTGTCCACTAGCCTCCAGTTCCCTCCACTACCCTCAGGTCCCCAGAGCTTTGATATGCTAATCTTTTCTCTCTGTCCACATGAAATCCACAGTTCCTTCCTCACTGAGCATGCAATGATGAGAGTCTCCTTCTCCTCTCCTGGAACTTCAAAACTGAATGGCCTCTCCTAGAAATGCCTGGCAATTTCTACTCCTGTGACCAGCAAAATGAGATAGCTCCCAATCCAAGAACCAGAGCTGATCTAGTCTACCTCTCGCTTGTGGAGCATGGAGGCTCAGCAGACATCTTCCCAGTGTAATGGCCAGGGCTTCTCCCATGGATCTCTTAGTATGAGGCAAGTGAATCTGGCCCAATTCCAAAGCTCTGTGGCCCCAACCCAATGCCTCACCCATCTCCAAGGTACACACAAATCAGCTCCCCTGTTCTCATCCTCCCACACCCCTATGGCCCTCTGGTGTCTTCCATACTGTATCCCCTACCACTTCCAGGGGATAAACAAGGAAGGGGGAGATGGAAATTGGAGTAGACTCCCTAAAAGAACCATTGGAAAAATCTTTCGCTACCTTCCTTCAACACAAAGCAGCAACTAAACACCCGAGCCACATGGAACCAGCGCTTGTATTGACAGAACCGTTTTGGGCATCTCGTGACAGGTTGACCAGGGTCCTTCCCCAGAGGGGAATATTTTGCTATGAGCAAATCTCAAGGAACGGCCTCATCCAACTTCCCACCTCAGAGGAAGCAGAACTGACAGGCGAATTCCCAGTACCTGAGAAAAGCAGCAGTGCCAAAGGGTGACCGTGGGGTTCCTGAGCTTCTCTTGAAGGCCACAAATGTTCATTAACTCTTCCTGCTCTTTACTCAGGATGTCTTGGATACTTTCTGAAAGGCAGGTTGAAGTGCAGGAAGATAAAATGGATTAACCGCTCTGAGGATGGGTAACGATTATGACCCAAGCCCCCAGGATCCTGAGGCTGCCATCCAACCACCTAGCTGATGCCGCTCGTCTTGGAACCCATAGGACAGACATGCTATACAATTAACAGGTCATAAACCAGAGAAGGGCCAGCAAACGCTCTGAAATGTGTGCTCGGCGGTAAGAGTGGTCTCCCCTACGTCGCTGGGCTCAGCGCAGGGAGAGGCTCATTGTATCTTGTGCACTGTGGTATCCCTGACACCAAGCACAGTGCCTGGCACATAGGTGACCCATCCAACCTTAATGAGTGGCAGAGACTCTCTACACCTTCTCTATCCCAGAGCTGAGTCCAGGCACCGACACCAAGCAAGACCAATCCATTTCAGTGGGCACCAAAGCGATGACCCCGGGCACTTTCTTCTGCTGCACTAATGAGGTTGTAACACATAACTTGGGCCAACGTGGTTGGAACACAGAATCGGAATGCAGGAGGGGTCTGGTGAGGACCCAAGGAGGGAAGGTGAGCCGTCACTGAGCTTAGAGCTTCGCACCTTCTGGATGGAGGCACCAGCCTGCTGATGCGTGAAAGGCGGTCAAACTCAGAAGATTCTCTGCAGGAAGGAAGGAAGGGTCTCGAGCCATTTCAAAGCAGGTGATTCGTCCCACGATTCATGATCCAAGATGAGTTGCTCTAAACATTAACTTGTGGAACACTCAGACGTAATAGAGCAGATTTTTCGTCCAGGAGCTCTGAGGGAGGAATCATTATTTTATGAGAAGTATTAGTACCACAGTTGTTGCTACTGTTCTTACTGCTACGATGTTCTTGTCTGACTCACAACGTTTCCCTTTGGCTTAAACTCCTTGGATCTCCCCCATCCCCCAGATTTGTTTGAGGAGGTATGTATGAATCTATAGAGAGAGATGGATCTCGGCCCCAAGATTGGGCAGAGCTCCTGCAGCTGCAAGGTTATAAGCCCATAAATAAAGTTTATGGTTAAACTGGCCTGACCTGGCTTTGCCCCTAGGTACAGAAGCCGTATCTTGTCATTAGTATGCAGAACACATCAGCCTAATGTCTGCTCATTTGTTCTCAAGCCACTCTGCTCTATAAATCTTTCGGTGAGGGCGAAGTGGGGGGGTGCGGGGGGCAAAGTGAAGGGTAGACGGAGAAAGGGTCAGGACGGGGCGGGGGGGGGGGGGGGCTGCTCTGAGTTTCACTGCTAAAATCCAACAGGCCACCACTAGTGCATGTGCTTGGTAGAGGGGAAAGTCACAAGTCACATAAAATGCAGTATTTTGTTTCTCCAGTGATCGGTGAAGCAGTAGGAGGCTGTGGGAAATCTAATTCGTAAGATGAGACCATTCTTTAATTCCACGAGTTCCAAAAATAAGTTCAAGGTTATATATCACAGGATTTTACGTAAAAAAGCAAAGCTCCCTGCTTTGGGGGTTCCTTATTTTTGTCTCTGCCTTTGTTCTGTTCTTATTTTAGTGTTTGTTTGCTTGTTTTTTGGTTTGGGGGTTTTTTTGCATTCTAGGGAAGGACTAGATTTCGCTTGCCCACCCCACATGGGGGACTCTTAGAGAAGCAGATGGGGGCGTTTTCATATTTCCATCCTCGGCAGGCTAGCAGCTGCTGGGTGTGAGGGCTCAGCTCTGGGTCATCTCTGTTGAGGGCCACATAAGAATAAAACGAGGGTGAACAGGCATGCAGGAGAGCTGACCTTGGAAACCTCCCTGAACTAGAAGCTATTGAGAATTGATTTCATTTGCTGAAGGTGAGAGTTCTTCTTTGCTGGGGTAACTTCCAGACCAGGATAAATCCTGACTCTGGGAGTGTCCTGCCTGGGGACTCTGGTGCTGGGGAGTGGGGGCGGGGGGAGGGTTTAGCAGGGCAGGCCTGATATTTGTTGCCTCAAGACTTTCCAATTTCCCATGGGGAGCAAGCAAGGGGACATCTCACCTTCAGCCTCCATGCGGGAAGAAAGAACCTACAATGGCTCATTGGAAAGGGGTTGCAGGAATCAGAGCAGAGCCTTAAATGGCTCATGTCCAAGAGGCCTAGTGGCCAGGTAGGGCAGGAAGCTGGAGAAAAGGGTTCAGCCCACCTTATGTAGTCTGCCCAGCCCCTAACATTGTTCTTGGCGTGGAAGTTGGTTAAAGTTAACCCAGGGTAGCCTTGAAGGGGAAATCAGAAGCACGGTCTTGTAGCCTTGGGGGTCTGAGTGGAGGAGGGGGTGGGGTCACTGGTCCCAGTTTACCTCTCCAATCCTTGAGGATGGGGCCCAGGGGCCTGAGGGTATTTTGAGGCTGAAGGTTTGTATTCAAGCCTCAAGCCCTTTATTTTATTATTATTATTTTTTTTTTTTTTTTTTTAAAGTAGAACATGCAACTCCTGATCCCAGAGTTGTTAGTTCAAGCCCCACACTGGGCATAGAGTTTACTCAAGACCTTTATTGTATTGTATTGTATTGTATTTTTTTAAAAGATTCTATTTATTTATTTCAGAGAGAGAGAGAGAGAGAAAGAGCAGGGGGAGAGGCAGAGAATCTCAAGCAGACTCCCACTGAGCGCAAAGCCTGATTCCTGGCTCGATCTCACAACCCTGAGATCGTGACCTGAGCCGAAACCAAGAGTCCGTTGCTCAACTGACTGAGCCACCCAGGAGCCCCAAGCCCTTTAGTTTAAAACTAGTTCCTCAGGACACCTGGGTGGCTCAGTTGGTTAAATATCTGCCTTCAGCTCAGGTCATGATCCCAGGGTCCTGGGATCAAGTCCCGCATCCAGCTCCCTGCTCAGTGGGGAGCCTGCTTCTCCCTCTGCGTCTGCCCCCCTGCTTGTGCTCTCTCTCTCTCTGACAAATAAATAAATAAAATCTTTAAAAAATAAAATAAAAATAAAACTCCTTTCTCCCTCACTCTGGAGTTTCTCAACTGCAGCACTATTTACATTTGGGGCCAGATCAGTGGTATGTGTGCATCTGTGTGTGTGCGATCTTGTGTGTGTGTCTGTGCATTGCAGGGTATTCGGCAGCATCCCTGGCTTTTACCCACAAGATGTCAGCAGCATCCCCCACCCAGCTGTGACAACCAGAAGTATCCCCAGGCATTGCCAAATGTCCCCCCGGAGGCAAAATCCTCCCCAGTTGAAAACACTGTTCTCCCTTTCACCTCCTCCAGTGAATGCCATCAACCTGACCATGCTAGCTGTCCAAGGGCCTTCTCTGGACAGGCAGGAGGAGCCGGGCCGTGGGGGACATAGGAAGGGAGGAAATACAAAGAAGGATGCCCCAGGGCCCGAATCTAGGGAATTTTTGTTGCCCCAAAGTGCTTTTAAACTCATCCTTAGAACACAGACCAAAGAGAGACAAGCCATATGGCTCTTCAGGTAGGGTTGTCAGATTTAGCAACAAGGACAACAAGGAATGCACTTTTAGTATAAGTATATCCCATGTCATATTTGGGATATACTTATACTAAAAAAATTTACTGGTTGTTTATCTGGAATTCAAATTTACCTGGGGATCCTGTATCTTTTTTGACAATACTATCTTCAGGTGGTGGTGATCACATAAGGAAAAAATCCAGAGAGATGTTCTCATGGTACAGAATTATTCCATTTTCTTGGAGCAGGATTTGACCTGTAATTGAAAACAAAAAGGGCAGATCTCCCCTTAATCCTACTGAAGTGCTCTCAGAAGTCAGGCTGGACTGGAAGACCAGAGAATGCATGGTTGTCTAGATCTCTCTTCATCTAAAAAAGTAGCCCCTGTTCCCCGCTGGTGGTCCTATTTGCACACCCAACTTGGAGAATCTTTTTCTGGACCTGGCTGCAGAAAGGACACGTGACTGGGGGCAGGCGAGTTTCTGCCAGGCTTTATCTGGAAGGGGAAGATGGGGCCACTTCATAAACCAACACACAACAGGCACATTTCCTGTTGGAGTTGAAGAAGCAGGGGGGATCTTCACTGGCCTTTTCCTCTGCCATCAATCTTTTTCCTCTTTCAAGGAGAGGCACCATTACTCATAACCCGACGAAGTGAACAGAGGGGAGGAGGGCCAGAGGGAGAAGAGGAGACCTGAGGGGCAGGTGAAGACTCTGGGAATCCAGGAGAGTGGGGGGCAGGGGCAGCTGGGCGGGAAGGGAAGTTCAACAAGGCCAGGCTCCAGGGCAAGTGCAAAGCTGATGCTGAGCTGAGCAGAGAGTTTCAGGGGTGCGTATGCGTGGGGAGGAGGAAATAGGAAGACACAGGTACTGATGCAGATCCTTCAGGGCCATTGAAACCTCTCTGTCTGTGTCGGAAGCATGGTGCTGTGCCCGTGGCTGGGACTCCGGACCACAGTTCAGTCTTGACCTGCCTGACTCACCTTCCCATACACATCTCTGTCTCCTCATCTGTCAAGTGAGGGGCTCTTACAGTCCTTCTTATTGTCGAATTCTGCCTTGACCCGCTCTGCTTTTCTTTCGATTTCCCCACATGCAAACAAGCTTGGGGGTATTCTGCTACTTACTTCCTTTCATGAAAATCTGGAGCACGGAGAAGCCGTAGGGAACCCCTGAACCCTAAGATTTTCTTTGAAGATGATACAAAGGGATACTGTGTCCAACAAGAGAACACAGTCCCTTGGAGAGGACTGGTGATCAGGCATCCTAAGTGGTGAGGGGAGCCCTCCTCAAGGACAGTGTAACCCAAGGGAAGCAGGTAACTTCTGAGACTCGGTTGTACCCAGCTGTAAAATGGGGGAGTATTCCGTGCAATTTATCTATTGGGACAACAAATGAGGGAGGTGTTAGGGAAGCATTTTTTAAAATAGAAAGGCTTGGGGTGCCTGGGTGGCTCAGTTGGTTAAGCATCTGCATTCAGCTCAGGTCATGATTCCGGGGTCCTGGGATTGAGCCCCTGTTGGCCTTCTGGCTTAGCGGGGAGACTGCTTCTCCCTCTCCCCCCTTCTCGTGCTCTCTCTCGCTGTCTCTCAAATAAATAAGTAAAGTCTTTAAAAAAATAAAAATAGAAAAGCTCTGCACATATTAGACCTAATAATACACACGTGTGTGCCATACACACAGGGCAACGTGACTCACGTGGTCTCTAGACTTGAAGAGTGGAAACAGAACAGGAACGTGTCTGGGAAGGGAGGGGGCCAGGTCTTTGGGAAGAAGCTGCCAGTCTGTCTTTCCTTCAGGACAACAGCTAAATTCCAGAGCCTCATCAGACGGGCGCTCCATGTCTTAGTAAAACTAAACTGACAAGCATGACCTCCCCTTGGCGGTTCACCTTATTGAAGCTGTCTGGTAGGTGAGACATTTATTAACATGGATGGACTGCCTACCGCGAGGGCCCCACCGCTGAGTGCTCAGCGGAATGAATTCCTTCCCCAGATGCAGTAAGTCTCCACTTCAGTACCGAATTTGATCATGTCCCCCTTGCTGAAGGGCCCTGACTGAAGGAAAGCTGTGCTTTGACATGGGAAGAGTCGATCCATGAGGCTGAGGAGCTCTAAATGTGAACCCCAGTCCTGGGAGGCACAGCTTCTGTTCTGTAACTCTGGATAGGCCACTCCAAACTCAGTTTCCCCCTCTGGGAACTGGATTAAAACTGTCCACAGTAAAGATGGGGATGAGGAGGGAGAGCACTACAAATATCACTGAGTCAATCTACTCTAATGTATTCCATTCTCTCTACTGGAGACCCAGTACACACACCCATATTTAAGATGAAACATTCGGGAAAAATCTCAGAACCTGCTTAAGCAGCACAGCAAATGTATTAGCTATCTATTGCTGTATAACAAATGACCCTAAAACTCCGCAGCTTCAAACAACAAACGCTTATTATCTTACAGTTTCTGTGGGTCAGAAATTTGGGTTCAGCTCAGCTGGGTGCCCAGACGCTCATAGAGTGGATTCATCTCCAGCCTCGACTCCGGGAGTGGGGGTTAGGACCTGCTTCTAACCCCCTCTGCTAGGATCACACAACTCCTGAATGGAGGGCCTTGGGTCCACACCGGCCATTAGCCTGAAGCCTCCTTCAGTTCCTTGTCGTGTGGGCCTCTCCAGAGCATGGCTCACAGCCTAGCAATTGGCTTCCCTTACAACAAGGGAGGGCAATGGGCGCCTGGGTGGCTCAGTTGGTTAAGCGACTGCCTTCGGCTCAGGTCATGATCCTGGAGTCCCGGGATCGAGTCCCTCATCGGGCTCCAGTCCCTCATCGGGCTCCCTGCTCGGCAGGGAGTCTGCTTCTCCCTCTGACCCTCCCCCCTCTCATGTGCTCTCTCTCATTCTCTCTGTCTCAAATAAATAAA